GCAACAATTACTATGCCTGCTATGTCAATCTGTCATGTTTTGATGAATCATGGCCTACTTCTTCTCTGAAATCAGTATCCACTTCAACCAAATAATACACATGGAACTACTACACTGAAGAATTGAATAACATGAATAATGAATAATTTTGGTAAAAAGTGATATTTCCGACTTTCGACAAGTCAGATTGCTTTTATATTATATATATATATATAGGTACCTCAGGTAGACCTCTCTCAGATTTGTTCATTTCGAGATGATATCTTCAATTCTCTAATTTAGGTGAATATTATTGTCATTTTTGGTAAAAAGTGATATTTTCGACTTCTGAATTCTTTGATATTATATATAAAGGTTTTATTATATAACCATTAGACCAATCACAGAAGCTGTAGTTTTGATGTCACTGCTGCAGGTGAATATATAATTATGAAATGACCTTGGTGCTGTCCAATCATTCTCACAAATAAAAGGTGATACAAGAAAGTGTTCCAACAGTGATTCACAACCTCTCGTAATAATTTGAATCTAAACAAATACATTTATAAATACAGTTTATACAGTTCAATCTGAAATGAGAACCACAGTGATCTTTTTAATTTGTCATCAATTCTCTTTGTTAATTGATTTGTTAAAGTTGAGGACGCCGGTGGAAAATGTCTACCATGTATTGTCGATGTCCGCAATGAATCCCAGATCCAAGCCGCTGTGGATGCCGCTGTCAACATGTTTGGTGGGATTGATATCTTAATTAACAATGCAAGTGCAATCAATACAACTGGTACATTGTATACAGATATTAAACGATATGATCTGATGATGAATATAAACACCAGGGGAACATTCCTAACGTGAGTACAGACAGTTAAAAACTAGCCGCATTTTTACCTTGTTCTTGATCACTATAAACATTCCTAACGTGAGTACAGACGGTTAAAAACTAGCCGCATTTTACCTTGTTCTTGATCACTACAAATATTTACAGTGGATGTTAGAGTTTAAAATAAGTTACATTATTATACATCTGTCACCGTAATGCCATAAGTTACAGCGTGCCGTAATTTTGCGGTATTTTACAGGGTATTTTCATCCTACCATATAAGAAACTGCAAATTACAAATATGGAATGATTACGCGCGTAAGCGTCCTCTAACAATAAAAACAAACATGGCTGACACCAGGGTTTGCCCGGACTCCACACAAAGAAGTTCGCTGATTCTGTTCTAAGATTTTGGCATTCCCATAATCCAATATGTCCTTGGAAGGAAAAATATGTATAAGGTTATCACGAGGATACCTCAACGTATACACTCAGAAAGTACGCCGCCGCATCAACCTTTGCTGCGCGTAGTACTGTCTTCGTGCATACTTTGAGGTATCCTCGTAATAACTTTATATTAATATAAAGCTGAAGTCAATATGATACTGCATTGTGGTAGGCAGCACAGCTGATTGTTCTTGTAATTTTAATTTTAGTAGGTTAATTGAGTGTAAGATTTAACTTTTAATCAAACTGATATTTTTCCAGTTCCAAGCTGTGTTTACCTCATTTATTGAAGGGTAGAAATCCTCATATACTGAATATTAGTCCTCCTCTTAATATGAATCCAGATTGGTTTAAGATCCATGTTGGTGAGTGTGCATTACTCTGTTACTTGGGCATTTGTGGATGTAAGAACACTATATGAATTACATCCTCGATAGAATCCTATTTTGTCAATACATCACATACATGGATAATCTTATTTGCTGCGGCTCACAATTTACTTAATGTGTTTTTCACTAGCCTACACAATGGCTAAATATGGGATGTCAATGTGTGTGCTGGGAATGGCTGAAGAATTCAGATCTGATGGTATTGCAGTCAATGCGCTCTGGCCAAGAACATGTAAGTTGGAAATTTCTCAAGGCAGGTAACTTAAAAATATTACAAACACAGCCAAAAAGCCACTGAAGCAACATACCCAGCTGATCCCACTGAATCACCATACCAAGCTGAGTTCACTGCAGCACTAATACCCAGCTGAGTTCAGTACAGCACCAATAGCCAACTTAGTTCACTGCAGCAATAATAGCCAAGTGAGTTCACTGCAGCACCAATAGCCAACTGAGTTCATTGCAGCACCAATAGCCAACTGAGTTCACTGCAGCACTAATAGCCAACTGAGTTCACTACAGCACCAATGGCCAACTTAGTTCACTGCAGTACTAATATCCAACTGAGTTCATTGCAGCACCAATAGCCAACTGAGTTCACTGCAGCACCAATAGCCAATTGAGTTCACTACAGCACTAATACCAAGCTTAATTCACTGCAACGCTAATAACCAACTTAGTTCATTGCAGCACCAATAGCCAACTGAGTTCACTACAGCACTAATACCCAGCTGAGTTCACTGCAGCACTCA